GAAATTCATATATCTCAGAAATTTTTCTCCTTTACCACACTTGAGCTATACTATTTGTAAATTATTGAAGTGTTGTATTTACTCCTCTCTCTTGATTCTTAATTAAGTTCATATCATTAATTAAGAGAGAAGTCTTTAATTGTAATTTCAATTTTCCTTCAAATTTTAAATCGTGGGTCGGTTGAGGTCTCGGAAAGGTCAATGTTGTAAAGGATTGGTGCTCCTTGTTTGTAAGTCACCAGAAAATTTGTAAAAAGGTTGGATTGCACCATAAATTAATCAAATATAGTGGAAAATGTCTTGCTCGTGACGGAGAGCTTGGTAACGGGGGACGTAGATCGTTGATTGGATCGAACCTCCTTATTACATCGTTTGTACTCTCTTTTCCCTTTCTCCTATTACTTTTGTGTTATCTTGCTTTTTCATTATTTGAATTTCTTGATTTTGGATTTATTTTCGAAAAAGTATCAAATAACCAATTTACCCCCCTCTTGGTTAGTTTTTTTGGGCTTTCAATTGGTATCAGAGCTTGGTACTCTTTTTTTATTCTACAATCTTGAGTAATAGCTAACCATGTTTTTCAAAATGTTGAGGGGCACTCTACAAATCGGCCTCCTTTCTTTAATGGCACGCATTATAACTATTGGAAGGCTCAGATGATGATATATATTCAATCTATTGATTATAATATTTGGAAAGTTATAGAATATGGTCCACATGTTCCCACTAAGACCATTAAATTAGTTGGTAGACCGGACCAAACTATTTCCAAATCTAGAGAAGAATACGATGATGAAGATAAGAGAAAACTATCATTAAATGCCAAGGCTAAAAATTTACTTTATTGTGCACTTGATAGAAATGAATTTAATCAAATTAGTACATGTGATTTGACATATAATATTTGACATGCTCTTGAAGTTACTCATGTCGGCACAAGCAAGGTTGAGGAAACAAAGATAAATATGGTAGTTAAAGAATTTGAAAATTTCTTTATGAAACAAAATGAGCCTATTGTTGAATGATTACTCGTTTTACCGATATTGTAAATGGTTTTAAAGGTTTTGATCGTTAATTTATTAACGGTGAACTTGTGAGTAAAATATTTAGGCCCTTATCAGAGGAATGAAGTCTGTTGAGGATGTTGATTAAGAACACTAAGGATATAAATACATATCCTTTGGAAGAGTTCTATGGCATATTAATGACCTATGAGCTAAATAATGCCGAGGTTAAGGAGAAAACAAGAAAAAGCAAGGAGGAATCGAAGGAGCCTCCTAAACGACAAATTGCTTTAAAATCAACAATTGAGGAAAGAACATCAAATGAAAACATGAGCGATGAAGAGCTTGATGATTTAGTTCTTCTTGTTAAAAATGGAGAGGCTTTTGCAATAATCGAAGATTCCAAAAGAAAGAGGAAAAGGGGGAAGAAAGGGGCAAAAAGATTATTTGCTATGATTGTGATAAGCCGGATCATAAGAGAACCGAGTGTCCGAACAAAAAGAAAAATTTCAAGAAAAAAGCACTTCAAGCCACATGGGATGATAGCGACGACGAAGAACAAAATGGAAATGATGGTTAAGATGAAGTGGTGAATATGTGCTTCATGGCAATCGAAGACGAGATATGTTCCTATGATGAGCTTTCAAATTCATATGATGAAATGCTTGAAAAATTTGCTTTGAATCATGCTATTCTTAAAAAGAAAAATTTCATCTTAAAAGAAGAAATCAAGAAAATTTTGGAAAAGCAAAATGAAAACATTGACCATAATCTTTTTATAAAAGGAAACATCTCTTTGAACGAAATGATCAATGACTTAACAAGAATTATCCATAAGTTTACCGAAGGTAAGAAAAAATTTGATTTAATGCTTGGTAGTCAAAAGTGCGTTTTTGATAAAGGGAGAATTGGATACAAACCCTCTCTAAAACAAAAATCTCTTAAATATATGTTTGTTAAGGCTTCAAATATTTCATGTAGTTTTTGTAATAAAACTGGACATGTAGCTTCAATTGTATAACTAAAAAAAAATTATTTTTTGAAAACAAATACAAGTTGATACAAGAATCAACAAAAACTAACTACCAAGGACCCAAGTTTGTATGGGTACCAAAAGTCAAAACTTAAATTGCCCTTGTAGGTACCAAAGAAAACAAAAAGCAAATGGTTCTTGGATAGTGGATGTTCAAAGCATATGACCGAAGACCGATCATTGTTATCAAATTTCCAAGAGAAGGGTGGAGGCCATGTGATCTTTGGAGATAACGCCAAAGGTAAACTAATCGGCATTGGAAACATTGCTAACCTCTCATTCCCATATATTGAAAATGTTTTACTAGTTGATAACCTTAAACATAATTTACTAAGCATTAGTCAATTATGTGACAAAGGATATAATATAAAATTCGATTCTACCAAATGCCTTATTAAGGATGCTACATCTAAAGAAGTGATTTTCATAGGAAGTCGAAATAAAGATGTTGTTTATATTATAAACATTGAACTTGAAAATTATGAAAAGTGTCTACTTAGCTTGAAAGAAGAATCATGGTTGTAGCATAGAAGACTTAGACATGTAAACATGAATCTTCTCTAAAAAATTTCTAAAAATTATTTTGTAAAAGGTTTACCAAATTTGAAATTTGAAAAAGATAAAACTTGCGATACTTGTCAATTTGGAAAACAAGTAAAGAATTCTTTCAAACCGAAACTTTATGCTTCAACTACAAAACCTTTACAATTTCTCCATATGTATCTTTTTGGACTTTCTAAGATGAGTAGCTTAGGATGTAAACATTATGCTTTTGTTATAGTCGATGATTTTTCAAGATTTACTTGGCTTATATGTTTAAGCTTAAAAGAAGAATTTTTGAAAACTTTTAAACATTTTGTATGAAAGTTGAAAATGAAAAATGCTATTCTATTACAACAATTAGAAGTGACCATGGTGGAGAATTTGATAATGTTGGCTTTGATGATTTTTGTAAAGAATATGGATATGAACATAAGTTTTCGACTCCTAGAACACTTCAACAAAATAGTGTAGTAAAAAGGAAGAATCACACATTGTAAGAAATAGCTCGGACTATGTTAAATGAAAATAATTTGCCAAAATATTTTTGGGCCGAGGTCATTAATATTGCTGTTACATTGTTAATAGAGTATTAGTAAGCAAAAAGAAAACTAAAACTCCTTATGAACTTTGGAAAAATAGAATTTCAAATATTAGTTATTTCAAAGTTTTTGGATGTAAATGTTTTATTTTAATACAAAAGACGATTTGGGAAAATTCGACTCCAAATCTGATATTAGAATTTTCCTAGGATATTCATCGACTAGCAAAACTTATAGAGTTTTTAATAGACAAACCCTAGTCGTTAAAGAATCCATGCATGTCACTTTTGACGAAATTAACTCTTTCGATCGAGGGAAAGGTGGTGATGATGATGTAGGTTTGGAAGCTCCTTTTGAACAAATGAAAATTCAAGACCAAAATAAGGAGGTTCCAAATGAGGGAAAAGAAAAATCAAATGATCAAAAAGATGATGAAAGAGAACCTGAAGAACAAAGTGAACATCCAATACCAAAAGAATGGAGATTTGTTTCATCCCATCCTAAGGAGTTTATTATCGGTGATCCATCAAAAGGTATCACTACTAGAATCTCTCATAAAAATTATTTCGATAATAGTGCATTTATTTCTCAAACCGAACCTAAGAATTTCAAAGAATCCGAGTTTGATGAGTTTTGGATTCTAGTAATGCAAGAAGAATTAAATCAATTTGAAAGAAACCATGTTTGGGACTTGGTTGTTAGACCAAACAATCAAACTGTTATTGGAACAAAATAGGTCTTTAGAAACAAAAGAGATGAAAAATGGAATAATTGTGCTTAACAAGGCTAGATTAATGACACAAGATTATAATCAAGAGGAAGGTATCGATTTTGAAGAAATATTTGCACCCATAGCAATATTAGAATCCATTCATATGCTTCTTACATTTGCACGTTACAAGGGTTTTACACTTTATTAAATGGATGTTAAAAGTGCGTTTTTAAATGGTTTTATTCAAGTAGAAGGTTTTGTTGAGCAACCTCCTGATTTTAAAGATCACAACCATCTGAATCATGTATTTAAACTTAAAAAAGCTCTTTACGATTTGAAAAAAGCTCCTAGAGCTTGGTATGAACGTTTGAGCAAATTTCTTCTCTCAAATGATTTTACAATTGGAAAAGCGGATACTACATTTTTTGTAAAAACCCATAAGGAAGATATGCTCGTTGTTCAAATTTATGTTGGCGATATTATTTTTGGCGCTACAAATATTTATCTTTGGGAAGAATTTTCAAATTGCATAAGTAAAGAATTTGAAATGAGCATGATGAGTGGATTAAAATTCTTTCTTGGTTTTCAAATTAAACAAACAAAAGAAGAAATTTACATAAATCAAAATAAATACATTTTAGACATGCTTAAAAAATTTGATATGCAAGACATTTAGCCTATGAACACGCTAGGGATGGCAATCGGGTTCGTCCGCTTGGGCAGCTTGTGGCTCGGCTTGAAAAAAGTTCGAGCCCACTCGACTCGAGGCTTAGACCGAGCCCCTTTTTAGGTGCCGGGCAATGCTCAAGCCGGCCTGTGTGGCTCGCCGGCTCTGGAGAACCAAACATATATTTAAAAAAATAAAAAAATAAAAAAAAATTAAGGGCAGCACACTGCCTTTTAAGGCAGCAACCTGCTGCCTATTTCTGGCAGGTAGCACGCTGCCTTAAATGGCAGCTAAATTTTTAATTAAAAAAAATTTCAAAACCAAACAAAACCCGAGTCGAGTTGGCCCGGCTCGGCTCGAAAAGGCCCGAGCCAAAAGCTCGAGTCAAGCCTAATTTTTTTCGGCTCGGGTCCAGAAAAAAGCTCGAATATTTTACCTAAGTTTAGAATTTCGGCTCACGAGCCGGCTCGGCTCAGCTCGTTGACATCCCTAGAACAGGCCAATGACCATGTCATTAAAGCTTGATAAAGATGATCAAGGCACTTCCGTGGACATCACAAAATACCGAGGTATGATCGAATCTCTTCTTTATTTAATAGCTAGTAGGCCTGATATTATGTTTAGTGTTTGCTTATGTGCTCGTTTTCAATCTAATCCTAAAGAATCTCACTTAAGTGCCGTTAAAAGAATTTTTTGTTATCTAAGTGGAGCTAGAACTTTAGGACTTTGGTATCCAAAAGGCACTCACATTGATTTAATTAATTACTTGGATGCCGATTGGGCTGGATGTAATGTTGATCGTAAAAGCACTAGCGAAAATTATCACTTTCTAGGCTTTACACTTGTATCTTGGTCTAGTAAGAAACAAAATTCCGTTGCATTATCAACCGCGGAGGGGGAATATATCTCGGCGGTAAGTTGTTGGGCACAAACATTATAGATGAAACAAACATTATGTGATTATCATTTATCTTACAATCATGTGCCTATCTTATGTGATAATACTATTGCTATTAATCTATCAAAGAATCCCGTCTTGCATTTACGAACTAAGCATATTGAGATTAGACATCATTTTCTTCGTAATCATGTACAAAACAGAGATATTGAATTAGAATTTATAAAGACCAATGACCAATTGGCCGACATTTTCACCAAACCTCTCGCACACGATTATTTCTCATCTATTCGATGAGGTCTAGGAGTTATTAATGAAAATTCAATATAAAAAAAAGGCATCCGGAAGCGTCATATCCAGACCAGACGGTTCGGACTGAATCGTCCGAATTGACAGTGTATTTTAAACACTATCAATCCGGACGTCCTGATCTATGGTGGTTCGCGTTCTTCAAAACGTGAACTTGAGGTCTTCTTCGTCATTTTTTTTCTTTCCTTTGTTTTCTCTTCTCTCAAAACTTCATGCCTCTCATTCTATCACCCAACAACATCAAATCTTTAAGTTCTTCACTAAATTAGAGGCTCAAAATTGATTTTCCCTTTTAAAAATCCCTTTTTCCCAAATCTTAAAACTTTCATCTCTCCCATAGCTCGACCTTGATTTTTGTCTTCAAATTTTCGCAACCCTTCTTCATATTTTGTATAAGATTTCATAACCCACGTCACACTCTTCTCAATTTTCACATCTTCATTCCAAATTAGGGTAGCAAAAATCGAGCCCTAATCTTCATATTTGGGGCTTTTTGTATCTCTTTGAAAATTTGTTGAATTATCAACAATGTCGGGATCTCAAAGAGGAAAAAGGGTGAAAAGAACCGAGAAACGACCCCCTCCATCATCATTGGATGATGAGATAGATTTGGAGCCAGAGGTGCCACCGAACCCCTTTGAAAAATCGCCCATTTTGATTGGTAAGAATGTTGATTTTTCGGATTTTACAATTGAAATTCCCGCATTTCTCATTGAGGAATATTTTGTAAACATGGGGTGGGTAACTATCGCTACTATGGAAGAACATGCATACCCACATCTTATAAAAGAATTTTATCAAAAAATGCAAGTTGCACCTCGTTCCGATGAGATTACATGTTTACTTAAAAATGTACGCATTAAAATTTCAAAGGCATTAATTTGTGAAATTCTCGAACTTGAGCCTTGTGACTTGGAAGTATTTGTACATAAATCTCCACCTATTGTGGAAGGTTACGATCCTTCCGAGGCTTGTCGACGAGTCACCGGGAAAGACTTCGAAAATATCACGAAATTAAGCACAAATCAATTAACTTTCCCATGTAAAGTTTTACAAAATATAATTGCCCACATTATTTTTCCCATAAAGGACACCGAGACGAAGTCAATCATTTCGATCTCTTCATTATGGACTCAATTGTTGTTGGGCATTGCATTGATTTTCCTACAATTTTCATGGGACTTATGAAACTTGTGCATGTATCACGTCATACTAAAGCTTTATTTTACGGGATGCTTCTTACAAAAAATTTCAAACACTTTAATGTTTCATTTGATGGGAGGACTTTATTGCATTACGCCCTACCGATACTATCAACATCCAAACACTAAAAAAGATGAAGATAGTAAAGGAACACGGACAATGGGTGGCTGACACGAAAGGGTTCGATCGTACCTCCGGTCCATCTACTCTTTCCTTTGAAGATAAACTACCCGAGACCGAGTCTGATGAAGCACCTGCACCCGGTATTCCAGGCTCTAGTACATCTTATCCTTCAAGACGTCATTCTGAATTCACCGAGGAACACTGTAGTCTCGTTCATGGGCGTATTGACTCACTTACCTCGACGTTTGACAGCATGGGTAGCCTACTACTCCAGATTCAGGTTCAGCAGATTGCTATCTGTGATCGACAGCTTGCGATGCAGCAGTAATAGCTTAAGATGCAAGCTCAGCAGGCTGCCTTCTTCACTGATTTCTATGCTCGATTCCCACCACCACCACTGCCTCCGGCCCCTTAGTTTATTTGCTTGTCGTATTCTATTGGAAATGTTATTATCTAACTATATATTTCGTTTATTGACCTTTTATGCTTATCTATTGCATCGTTCATTCCTCTTATGTTCTTTGCTTATTTTCCATTGAATGGTTGACTTTCTCCATGCTATTATTTCATTTCTACTACTTGTGTTCTTATTTATTTATTTATTTTTGTTTATGCCAAAAGGGGGAAGATAAATAGATGATTATGCAAAATAGGGGGAATATTGCAAGGGAAAAGTAATAAATTTTTATATGCATGTCGATAAAGGGAATTTAAGTGAAATCGATAGGGGAAACATTACTTGTAATGATCTATATTTTTGTTTTCGCCAATTCAATTTGTTTAATATTTGTATTGTAAATCATCTTGTTTGTCATAATCAAAAAGGGGAGTTGACCTAATGGTTCACTTCTCGTTTTGATTATCACAAACAAATTACGTTTAATTCTAACAAATTGAATCTCAAGCGTTGTTAGTGAGAAGAATGATAATTCAAAAATCAAGATCAAGAGTCATTTACATAGACGAACAATCAGGGCACCAAAAATGATCGGGCACAAGCAAAAGATTGGAGATCGACAAACGAAAAGATTGAAATCGAGCTTTCACGTCAAAAATCATTTTGAAGAAGAAATTGAAGACATAAGATATAGATGCATTTTCATACTCAAATGTAAAGGTATAATTCTTCAAATTTCTCACATCGACTATAGCTCAAATTTTATGCACAAGAATCCTTCACGACAAACAATACTTGCATGAAAATTCATCACGGAGGAAAAATTCTGGATGGACAATAATTATGTCCATCCAGATGTGACCGTCTGGACGTTCGGACAAGACTTCCAACGGTCATTTCAGTGATCGTTTGTCAAATGGCTAGTTACCCGTCCGGATCCTAAGCGGACGTCCGGATCTTTTGACCATTTGATGGCTATAAATACCCCACTTTCTACCACAATCAATAAAAGAATTTTAGAGCTTTAAAGTGTAGTATTTATTGATCTTTTCTACATTGTTTTCAATTCTTTAAGATCAAATCATTTAACTTTTGATCTTATGGTGTAATCCGACCTTCTTTTCTCCGTCACGAGAAAGGTCTTTTCCACTATATTTGATCTTATGGTGTAATCCAACCTTTTTACAAAGCTTCTGGTCACTTACAAACAAGGAGCACCGATCCTTTACAATGTTGAACTTTCCGGGACCTCAACCGACCCACGTAAATTGTTGATTAGATTGAACCTCCTTGTTACATCGTTTGCACTTTCTTTTCTCTTCCTCCTATCACTTTTGAGTTATCTTCCTTAATCATTATTTTAATTGCTTGATTTTGCATTTATTTTCGAAAAAGTATCAAATAACCAATTCACCCCCTCTTGGTTAGTTATTCTTGGGCTTTCAAACTTGTAGCTATTTCATATTTATGGTTTCATCGAGGTCACCATTCAAAAACGCAATTTTAACATCCATTTGCTCTAATTCAAAATCATATTGTGTAACTAATGCAAGTATGACTATAATGGTAGTATATTTTACAATAGGAGAGAAAATTTAATTGTAATCAATACCAGGTTTTTGGGTAAACCACTTGGCCACTAATCTGGCCTTAAATCTTAGGGGCTGATTTGGGGGATTGCCATCTTTAATTGTATAAATCCATTTACAATCAACCAGGGATTTATTTTCAGGTTTAGGCACTAAACTCCAGGTTTGATTTTTTACTAAGGACCTCATTTTTTCCTCCATAGCAAGCTGTCATTCCTTAGAAAACTGACAACTAATAGCCTCTTCATAGGATTTAGGCTCTTTAAAAGTCAAATCCTGATATGACAACATAGCAAGTGACATATAGTCTTGCATTCTAATAAGCTCTCTTATTTCTCTTCTAACCCTATCTCTAGCTAACTGATAATCACCTAAAGGGTTCACTAACTCACCAGTAGGCTCTTGAATAGTTTCATCACCTGATTCTTCCATAGTTTCATTTTCATCTTGATTTTCAACAACATGATCAGGTGAAAGTTCAAGTTCCACCTATAGCCTAATATTTTCTTCTTCCTAACCCTTAGGCACTTCTCTAGAGGCCTCTTTACATAAGCAAGGCATCTCATTTTCATTGAATGTCACATTCCTACTGGTTATCATCTTAAAACCCCCAATTTCTCTCACCCAAAGCCTATACCCCTTCACTCCTTCAAGATATCCTATGAAAACACATTTCTGGGACTTAGGCTCAAGTTTTCATACACTTTGGTGTGAATATGCTACACAACCAAAGGTTTTTAAGTATGTATAGTTAGCCAACCTACCTATCCACACTTCCTCAGGTGTCCTACCATCTAATGCACTAGTTGGGGTCCTATTTATGATATAAACTGCTGTCATAACAGCCTCACCCACAACATTTTAGGGACACCTAAATTGAACATCATGCATCTAACTTTATCTGAGATAGTTCTATTCATCCTCTCATTTACGTCATCCTGTTGTGGAGTATATGGTATTGTTTTATGTCTCAAAATGCCATTATCCTTACACAATTTTTCAAAATCAGCATTACAAAATTCTAATCCATTATCTGCTCTTAGAATTTTAATCTTTTTATCCATTTGATTTTCAATCAAAGTTTTCCAAGTTTTAAATTTTTTAAAAGTGTCTGATTTTTTGTTTCAAAAGGAATACCCATACTTTTCTTGAAAAATCATCAATTAAGGATAAAATGTACCTATTCCCACCTTGAGAGGTGGTAGATGATGGACCCCACAAATCAAAATGTATATACTCTAGGATAGATGTAGTCCTATGTTTCCCTGTCGTAAAGTGAAATCTATGTTGTTTGCCTAAGATACAAGGAAATTTTTGAAATCACGTCACTACCACAGGTACCCTTCCAACTTAAGATGTGTAAGCCTTTCTCACTCATATGGGCTATCCTATTATGCCATTTCCACGTAGCATCACTCTCAGCCATAGAGGATTCTGCAGTGTGACTCAACACATTTGCCTTAATGACATAGATCCCATTTCTTTTAATGCTTTTGAAAATAACTATGGATCCCTTAACTATTGTCAAGAAGCCATCTCCAAATTTTCCTTGGAGACGTATGTCATCTAAGTTCCCAACTGAAATCAAATTTCTATTTAAATCTAATACATATACATGCCTCACCCGTTCTAAGGTAAACGTGTTTCAAAGTCACACTACCTATCTCCAACAGTTTATAGGCTGCATTATTACCTATAACTACCTTACCACCATCTAAGCCCTTAAAATCAAGCAATCAATACTTTCTAGAGGTCATA